GTTTTTTATTTTATTTTATCTCTTATATTATAATGATTTCACAATCTGTTGATTCTTTGAAAATTAAGTCAAGTCTATCATTTTAGGTGCAATACAAAAACCCTGCCTGACTTTGAGTTTTCGGATCATGAGTAATCCATGTTTGGCAAACAGGTGTTTCATATACCCCATGAAACAGTTAAACTTTATCGATTCTCATGAGTTGCCATTTCAAATGTACTAAAGATCTAGATCTTCGCCGAATTTTCACCCAATTTAGCAATCATCGTTTGATCCCCCATCTCAAGATACAATTTAAAAATTTAAAATTTAAAATTCCTTCTTATCATACAGGTTTATTTCCTTGAGATAAAATAAATTAAAAAACATAATTAGAATTTATAATTAGAAATCAAGTACAAGTTTAAATTAAATCGAAAGTTATTAAATCGTAAGGTACTTTTTTTTTATATAATCATATAACGATTATAACGATAAAAGCAAATTCACGGAAAACATTATTAGATATATAGAATAGAATAATAAATGTTATACAATATATTGTGATTTAAGAATATTACATGCATTTAATCCGAAGTACAAGACTTTTAAGCAACTAAATGCGAAGTACTAAAATGGATAAAGTGGTCAGTTCGTGCATATATTCTTAGTCAGATGGCAACAAAGTACTACAATTTCATATCTTTACAGTAAGAAAGTTTAACTCAATCGTATCGGGGGGAATAAACTTTAAAGCTTTTATGCTCAAACATATTTGTAGGTAAAATTATTCGAATCAAACAACGTGTACATGGTAACAAGAAGAAATAAAGATGGGTAAATTATTTCAAATTTAAAGAGTCAAAAAAAGAAAAATACGAATATCATAATCACCAAATAAAGAATTAAAGAATACCAGTGTAACCGCTTATTAAAATTTTCCATTTTTATATAATTTTTTCTTTAATTCTATTCATAGACAATTCTTTTTTTAACTGCATAATAAGGTTTCTTTGATATATATTGATATATATATTGATATATATATTGATATATATATTGATATATATATTGATATATATTGATATATGTTGATATTAACTGCTCGCCTTTCAAATGCAGTTTAATTATTGTGTGCGAAAAAAAGTTTTTTTAATTGGTAAACCTTATGACTAACTGAATAAGTAAAATAATAATACTATTTCAGGCAAACATTTATAGATCTCGAAGTTTGGGTGATCAAAGTACTGAAGTACAGCATGTACAGTTACTATTACATACGTACGTTATGTACGTACGTACGTACATGCGTGCATGCGTACGTCCGTATGTATATATATATTTACACATATTACGTATATACATTACCCGATACGTAAGAAGGATACATCACGTGATACTACTTTTGGGAAAATTTAGAATCATGGTTACATGGTTCGAGTTTGACATGTAGCGGAACATTCGTGATTAACAAGGGAATCAAGAATCAAGGTTCAACGGTATCGTAAAAACATGTGTACGTACGTAAGTATGATATGATATGAAAAAGAATTAACTATTATTATAATTTATTATTACGTTACCATGTGATAGATCACAAAAAAGTTTATCGATATAAAGTTTCGGGGTTTGAAACTTACGATGACTTCAAGGAATTAAGTGCAACAGTACTATTCATTAATAAATGGTGGATGCACGATTCATTGGAAAACCCGAAAAAAAATTAGTAATCTTGATGATATAGAGTTAAACATTACTATAAAAGGAATTCGCAATGAGAACGTTCTAACAGAAAATCATTATGACAGAAAGAAAAATGGTTAAATCTAATAAAAATAATAATAATCTTAAGGAATTCTCTTGTAACCACTTTAGTAAACGATTTATTAATTCTTAAAATTTTTTGTCGTCAAAAATCTCGGACTTTTTAGATTTAGAAAAATCGATCGACTATTATTAATAATCGCCAACCAAATGTGAAACCCTACATACACATACATGTATCCCGAAAGCTGGAACATGGCTTAACCATACTATGATATCATTATCCAAAGCTTTAACTATTAAGCAAGCCTTAAACCATTACACAAATTAATTATTGACGTAATCCGTTAAAGACATGTATTCTTAGTATTGTTAATTTTAGTAATTATTAAAACGTACAGTACGTACAGTACGTACGTACGTACGTATTGGTATGTACGTACTGTATGTAAATAGGTAGAATTTCGAAAATATCACAATATCACAAAATTGATCAAAACATTTGATCAGATTGATCAATTCTTGATTAAAAAAATGATTAAAAAAAATGATTAAAAATTGATTAAAAAAATGATTAAGAAATGATTAAAGAAAATGATTAAAGAATTTATTAAAAAAACTGATCAAGGAACTGATCAAGAAATTGATCAAGGAATTAATTTTTTTGTATTAACAAGGTTTAAATAAAAGGAATAATTATTAAAAACCATGTCTAAGAGTTTACTATCAAGAAATTACGAATATAAAAGCATTTTTGGGTTCATTAAACTTGTACTTCCAAAGGTTAAAAATTCTAAAATTTCAGAGGTTCAAAAAAATTTTTTTAAATCAGTGTAACTAAGAAAAACCTTTGCGACATTGAATGAATGTAGATTACCGTAGTAATATGTTACGCAAACTATTTACAACAATAATCATCATAAATGATACACAGTATTTCGACAAATATTATAAATATTTTGAAATTCTACTTTGATTTTTATATGTTGTGTTTCATTTCTTTTGGTTACTTAGCATTTATTAACAATTTTTAATATCCAATCATAAAATTAAAGTTCATAAAATCATCTGATTTGAATATTCTGTGTATTTGTTATTCAAAAATATTAGGAATATTAGGTGTTTATTAGTATTTGTTGGTTGTTAGTTTTACCTAGATCGGGAAAAAACAAAAAGTTGTGATGTTTACGAAAAACAAAAAATGATCGGAAAAAGAAGCGCGCGAACATCTCGATTTACATGTGTCTTACCCTAAATAACAAGTGGATATTTTTACCGAGTAACCTATATAAATTACTTTTACTGTTGGTTCAATTTTTTTTTTTATGCTAATCTTTACGAAAATTAATCTTTTTACCGTAGAAAAAACTTGATATTTAATATATATATATATATTTGATATTAATCTTTAATATTTTTTTTTTTTTTAAAAAAAAGGAAATTTATTCTAGTTAATTTTCTGGTTAATCGTCTGGTCAGTCTTCTAATTAATCGTCTTGGCAGTCAGTCTTCTGATTAATCGTCTTGGCAGTCAGTCTTCTGGTTAATCGTTTGGTCAGTCGTCATTGATCGGTTGTCTGAACAGTTGAGAAAAAAAAGGTATAAAAAATTTAGGTTACTAAAGTGGTAGCTATTCAAACACTATTTTGGGAGAATTAATAAATGATGAACTTTACACATGATTAGGTAATGCGTGACAGTTTAATAAAAGACATGTATGCGGCATATCATGAATTTTTTGAGTGCAGCAAAAAAAACGATTGGACTTTTTTATTATGCTAATATCTGCACTCAAAGACGATTTAACCTCTAGTGGTTTTTTGATAAAATTGTTATCGTTCAAATATCGACAATTATTATTCGACATATTTAAAAAATTATTGTTTGTTTATTGATTGGTAAAAATTAAAAAAACAAATAGTCCACAGATAGGCCACAGGTAGGCCACAGGTAGGCCACAGGTAGCCACAGGTGCCACAAATAGGTCGAAAGAAATGCATAAAAACAATTAGGTGTAAATTTCTAATTGTTATAGGAAATAGATGTTGCTTCGCCAGGTAACGGTAATTTGCAATTATATTCGTTATCTTAATGTATAACTTAATGTATAACTTAATGTATAACTTTATGTATAACTTTATGTATATCTTTGATGTATAACTTTATGTATATCTTGATGTATATCTTGATGTATTTTTAATATATATTTAAATGATATATTTTAATGTATAGGTTTACGTAATATGATTTTCCAAAAAACTAAATCATTTCTAATCTTGATTAAGAAAAATATTAAAGCAATGTCATGCCCACGCTCTTACATTTCATCTGATATAATCTTCATTTATGTATCAGCTCATGACTTTTCAAGATATACTGTATTAGATATCTGTATTAGATGCTTAGATATAGTGTATTAGAAATTCATTTACATATTAATTTACATATTCATTTACATATTCATTTACATATTAATTTACATATTCATTTACATATTCATTTACATATTCATTTACATATTCATTTACATATTCATTTACATATTCATTTATTTATTCATTTATATATTCATTTATATATTCATTTACATATTATATACATATTACATACATACTATTGTTATTATTACAAATGCACTTGTTTTTGGGACATCAAGATTGCTTTTTTTTTCATTTCTATTATCTTGTGAATAAACGTTAAATAAAAATTCCAGCGATTATCACATTCGAATACAATTTCGAATACAATTTAAGGGTCCAATATAACCAAAAAAATAAAAGAATCGATTTGAAATTTAATAGTAAATCGTTAAGCAAATAGATTTTTATATATGTATTTTAAATGACAATATACTTAGTCTAAATGATATATATATATATTATAAAATAAATGATAATTATATAGTTATCACAAGGTTATTACGTCATCTTGATGTTAAAATAAAATGTTGTACTTAAAAACGTTAAATTATTAATTATCTTATTTAGTGATACGAAAGAGTGATTAATTTCATCATGTAGGGAAATGATTATTAAGATGATTAACGTTAGCGTTAGCGTTAGAGTACACGTAAACCTGAAATATAAAGAATATACGTAAAGAATATATGTAAAGAATTTACGTAAATACGTATACGTAAAGAATATACGTATCAGGTATAGAAAAGTATACAGAAAAGATATTTCAAAAAAATACACGTAGTACGTAACGTAACGTAACGTATCGTATCAGTATGGTACATAAATACATAAGTATTTACGTACGTACTTACGTATCACTACAGCTATCACTACAGCTATCACTACAGCTATCACTACAGCTATCACTACAGCTATCACTACAGCTATCACTACAGCAGTAAGATATTTAAAAAAAAAAATCATTGATGCAATAAAATGTAGAAAATCGCAGAGATCCATTCTAAAAAAGTATATCATGATAAATGAACGGATATGGAAAATAACCAACCTAAAATGAAGCACAAAGATTAGTAACGTTTAGTTGTTGAAATTCCCAACATCGGATTACAGCCAAACCTGCAAGTAAGTAAAAGTAAGTAAGTGATAACGATAAATGGTTTATGCATTTCCGATGCCAAGTAAATCCCCGTGAAATTATCAAAAAACGTGCCTTTTTCAAATTTACATTTGATGATAAGTAAGTAAAATAAATGGTAGGACAAAATTTTATTGGTCACTCGGTTAAAACATGATGCATCAAATGTGATTGTTTGGTTAATCCAATTTTGGCGAAAATCCCAACCAATACTAATCCACCAATACTATTTCATTTCTTTTATAATAATGATCAGGATTATTAACCAATAAAATTTAAAATTAAATATTTCAAGTTATGATGAAACTCGATTGTAAATGCATGTTGGCTAGTTTGTGATCACTAAATATATTTCACACACATGATGATGGATATGATAGATGTAAGAAATAACGAATAAACTTGCAATAAATATATGCATAAGTAATGAATATAAATCAAATATTGCATATATGTTTTTTGTGAAAAATAAAAGTGTCGCTTATGTTTTTATCATAAGTATAATATACAAACTCTCTTTGTTCTGTGACCAATTTATGCGTACAACCAAACAGTTTATATGTTGTGGCCACATTTTTCATTTTAGATTTAAATTCGTTGGTTGGTCTTTAACGCATGGATTTGTTTCTCTGCAATAATAAATGTATAATAAATGTATAATAAATGTATAATAAATGTTGTTGATTAAATAATGTTTAAAAGGTTAATAATAGGTTTTTCGTATCAACGAATTAAATTCATGTAATTTATG